ACTTCAAAAATTTTATCAACCGAAAAACTGGTCTCAAATCCAGTGATCGAAGTCAGCAGGTGCAAGATCTCCACCCAATTTTTTTTCGCTAGTTTAGCTATTCACATTCCCGTCAGATCACTTAGCTTTAAGAATATGCAAAAGTAAGATAAGAAAGGGCTGTAAAAAAACTCACACACTCCGATTTGAGGTTCTTCAACTGACTCTCACGATCATGCAGCTCTTCTTGAAGGCTAGCCAACTGTGAGGAGAGGTTGTTCCTCTCCCTCTGGAGATGTTCCACTGTAGAACGTAGTTCTCGTAACTAACGCAGGTTCAGTACACAAAGTTACTTTAAACCAGTAATTTTATTAAATCCGCCATTTATTCAATATTAAGACAAGTCCATGGGGTGCTCGAATCCCCTGGATGACTGCGAAAACTTTTTACCCAAAACAAATTGAGTAGACCAATGTTTACACCTCCCAGAGATGATATGATAAGCCGCAATGTTTTGGACAAAAATGTGTGAAGGAGTGAATATTAAGTTATTATTTTGCAACCTGTTCCTTATTAAAGTGTTGAGAATGGTGAATGAAGGTTGGTGGTTTGGAGACAACATATTTACAGTGGATGAAGAGGAATGCACGATACACACTTCAATGAAACTCAAACACCATTACTGAGGGGACGATACACTAAAAGTCTTCTACCATGTTGAAGCATAACTGTTTGAGTAGTTACTCCAGTTTTAATTAAGTATACCCCAATCAAGGATTGAAATGCTGGAAAAGTGAACAATAACGCAATAACTACCTGATGTTCCAGCTGACGTGTCGAATCCTCTCGAGATGCAACGTGCGCCTCTCTCTCAGCAGTCAGTCTGACGCTCTCGCGAAGAGCCTGTTCCAGTTCGCGCACTCGCACTTCCTTTTCGGATATCATATTCTGGAAGCATGAAAGGCGTGTCACTGATTCGCTGCGCTTCCCTTGATGCCCGGCTTCATCTCTGACGCGTGAATGTGGGTCACTGGCATTGCAAATGTTTCGTCACATTTCTAAGTAATAAATTTCCCAAATCTTTCCAACTTAGGAAAACTCTATGTCGATTATGAATACGACCCTCAG